AGATATTTAGTTCTATTGTAAGGAGCTGGAATTCGGAGAACTACTTCAACCATCATCAAAAAGGTACAAGTATTTATAAACAGTTGTCTGCGCAAGATACTCAATATCCGTTTGCTGGATACCATCAGCAACAGTCCACTGTGAGAGAGGACAAACCAACTTCCATCTGAGGAAGAAATTAGGAAAAGACGTTGGAGGTGGATAGGACATACATTGCGGAAAACACCAAACTGCATCTCGAGGCAAGCGCTAACTTGGAATCTTGAAGGGAAACGGAAGTGATGGAGATAAAAAAATACACTGCTCTGAGAATTAAAAGCAGACATCAAAAGAATGAATAGCAATTGGAAAGGATTTTTCGGGACAGAGTTCGATCGAGAATGCTGGTGAGAGGCCAATGCTCCTCGATGAGTGGTAACAGGTGTAATTAAGTAAGAAATGTTCGTCGAACTTTATTAAGGATAACATCCAAATTTTGTATGTCATTCAAATGAACTCTGTTTATTTTCAGCCGGTCAAGACATTTACCAAACTTCTTACTAACCCTTTCCTTTTCTCCTTAACTGGTGATTCGATGTACCATAATACCCATAGAAATTTAGTTATTTAATAATAAAAAATAATACTTGAAATTAACAGCATTGTGAATCACTCTTCTTCGTGTTTATAAGTTTTATTACAGAAATTGATGAAATCATACATTTTACGATCTGATAACCACGTCTGTTATCAATATATACTTAATTCTGCTCTGATATGTTTTCAGTAATTGTTCATCATACAGTAGTCGGCATTATTCCATTTCGTTGATGAAAATATAAATGAAATAAATTCAATTATTTGGGATATTTATCACTTTAAAAGTAAAATTACTAATAAACACACTTCCGTTTTTGAGAATTTAATTTTATTCTACTGTTATGTTTCATAACGAGGATATACATAAAACCATGAATTCTGTCTACAGTTATTCAGGTTGAATATTCTATGCACAGAATTAAAATGTCCCAAAAATTTATTAAAATCCAGTTTGTGGAAACTTTACTACAGTTCACACTAGACATTAATATATTTAAGCCATGATATGAGATCTGTGTGAGACCATAGTTGAAACACAAGTATTTTAAAGTCATTTTTGATCATAATGAATAACTCTTAGCTTTGACTGATTTGCTTAATATCTACTTTGGTACTAATTGACCTTATTATACTTAAGAGGATACACAAACTCAGCCTAATCTGCGTGGTAACTTATTTCAGGTAGACTGATGTTAGTTTTTTCAAAAATTGAAGAAAAATTATTTGCCTTTTAGACCACTACCATAATATTTGAAACTTAATAAGTTGGGTAACCCTCAACAACTCATGCTGGTCAGCAACATGTATTCTACCATGTGTATTTTATATATAAGATTTTTAGTTGAGGTGAGATAATGTCTATTAAAATAGTTAGTACTATTAATGACTCAGTAATTATAAGTTTCCGTTTGGAAAAATTTGTCATTTTTCCAATGTGAGTCTCGTGAACTGTATTGATAATGATTACTTTCATAACAATGTAACCTGAGAATGGTAAACTAAACTGCACGTGTACATGCTTTTCTTATTTTTCTTACTGTTAGGAATATAGTTCATTGTCATTTTGATGTGAATACTGACTATTCTGGAATATGATAAACTTGTCATGGTCATTTTGGTGATTATCTGTTTGTTGTTATAATTTTCCCATTAATAACCAAAGCTGTTATGATTGAAAGTTTCTTTCTTTTGTTGGCATGATAGTCAAAAATGATTAAGAAGAAATTAAATCATGTAAGCAGAATAACTTGTCTCTAGGGGCATAAATTATACGTATGAATTCAACAGTTTTCTTCCTAATAACTTAGCGTGTGATAAATTATTTATCAATTCAGACTTCTCAGAAGCTGATAGTATAGCATTTTTGTAGTGGACTTTTTAAATAAGAGATATCTATTAACAGTTGTTAAATTTATTTTTAATCGAAATAAAATAAATTAAATTATTCAAGTTATTTTTTGAAGTGTTTCTTACTCACAAAGTTTTCAGTGCTATTACCCTAACTTTCTATGGTGGTGTTTTGGACAGTATTACACCACTGTGTATTGCTATATGTTTCGACCGATAGTTCCAGTTGATGCCTTAACACACTCTATTTTTTAAACATATTACATTAAGTATCCATAACGAACCCCAAATATTCTTTTCTATCTTGTTACAATTCTCAAATCCGGTCAAAAAAATGTAATTTATTCACTAATCCTTTTAATATAAGGATAGGTGCATCTACTGAGTATACAGCATTTTAAGAAGTAACTAAACGGTTTTAAACTTAGACTATTATACTAGATTTATTTGTAAATTGAATTATTCTATGGTCTACGACTGAACCGATGGTCATATTTTGTCGATTCAGTGCTAAAAAACGCCGACTGTTTACAGTGTAATGACGGATAGAAAAATGCAATCTACCAGTCAAGTGGGTTTTAACAGAAAATCTCAGAGGATCTCGAAACAATAAATGATTACTTAGTGAAAATAATAACATGAATTCATAAACACCGAGAATTTTAAAAATTTTAATGGGCTTCATTCTAGACTTCATACTCAGTTAAACTTCTTAGCGAATAAAATTTAAAGTGCAAACGATCAGAAAACTTGAAGACTATCTAAACTGGTGACATAAAATGTACCCTACTTTATGAATATTACTGACAGTAAAGACATTCATCTACCCCATTAAACTGTCATATATATATATATATATATATATATATATATATATATATGCAAACTGTCAATCAGTTGTTTAAAACTTGACTGGTACTTTTGCAAATGTCATCTCAGGCTTCACCGTTCCTTCATTTTTCACAGCAATTGTTCACTGTTCTCGTTCTCTTTTCTTCGATCTTCTTAACCTTCTGCTGCAGGTATTCCACTTTCGATTGATCGTACATACTACTTATATCTGTCGACATCAGTAGCACACACCACAATACGACTTATGCAATCTTAACACTGCTACAACAATGTCGTATCGACCGGTATGAGCAGTCTAAAGTTCTTATTAGTTCTTTTTCTACATAGCCCCGCCTATTGAGCCCAGAACGCCAATATCGGTTTCCATTGTGCGAATCATTTATTTCAGACATATTTGCTTTATATATAAGCAAACTAAAGTACATCATACCATAAATAAAAAATAACAATTGTGCAAGATCAAGCCCAAAAGTGATTGTGGGAGACTAATCGACAAACTGAGTATAATTTAAGAATACCAAGTAGTATCATAATAGTCTATAGGTCAAAATAAAGCTTATAATGAGAGGAATATAAATATACAGAATCTAGTTACGCAATAGTTATACAATAGTAACAAATGTACAATGTTAGTTCATTAATAGCTCTCAAAAGTTACCCATAAGTTAATCTTCGCCAGGATATAACATTAAGAATATCAGTTAAAATGCCAGTTGCATGAAATGCATGTAAAGCAACAACAAGCACCATTAGTTTTCACGCGAGATTTCGAATGTCTTCTTATTCACAGCTCCCAACACCATAGTCATCTTAATAGCACTCGCCTAAAACTAAACTATTACACCCCTTCCGTATTATCGAGTAGGCAACGTAAGCCAACCAATAAAATATACGCATTTGATTGGTTAATTAAAATTTGACCTCATTCCTTTTCTTGCTTCATGATTGGTTGAATAGTCTTTTTAACGGTACATAGCCTAAACTTTTACAATATATACACAGAAAATAAAAGCGGAATATGTCTCGTTAGTCCAAGCCGGAACTAAACAAAAGGTATGCATACAGTGATTTATTACTTTAATCTAAGCTTTACATGATTAGAATTTCAATTTAGTCTGAATTTACATGCAAGTCTGTCACAAATCATAAAAGTAAGAATTTTAAAAGTGGATTGACTGACAAACTCATAACACCACTCTTATGACTTTGCTTATCTAGATAAAACTTAACTTTATAGAGTAAGTTTAGTTGATATCCCGTCTCTTACTCAATATTCGGAGACTATGTGTACAAGCACTACTGTCAATAGTAAAGTCAAACGAATTTTGCAGTATGATTTTATTAATGAGACTTCGTTACCAAGATTGCACAGCAACCATTTATTAAAACAAGACAATCGAACGATGATTTTGTTTTGTTCTAGTCTAACCATTACGAGGTAACCTAATAAACAAATATATTCCTACATCGCCACTGTATAACAAATTAGCTGAGTTAAATTATGTATAGATTATCATAAAACAGCTTGCAGAGAAGTATGCTTATGAACAAATGAGGAAAGGTCATAGATTTTAAAATTATTTGTTGTTTCTATACACCGACATGAAAAGAAATAATGGCACAGCATCAATCTAAATTGCTAGAAATTTGAGTTTGACTTCTACATAGCTGTGATAGTATTTACTGGAATTTTAAATCACGGACTAACTTCGTGCACTACTGTCAATTGACTGAGTTTAGAAATACAAACCATTGAAAACCAGCTCAACAATCTGGGGGTCAAACTCTTGACTGGGGGCCTGTAGGGTTTGGATCTTATCTTTGGTCAGTTTTTACATGCCCATTACTAAATAGTCCCTTACGAGAATAAAAATGTAGTCCAAAGCCTTCTAATTTCCAATGGTTGCTCAATCAAAGTCATTCCCCAATGCAAAACTACGAAATTCAACAATTCCCTATGCTAATGAAGATATTGTATCTGATAATCGTTTATTGTGACCCTGATGCAAGACAATTTATCATGATCTGTGAGCCGAATGAAGTAGAAATTATCAATACACAATCTTTTCAATATTGAGTAGTTATTCAGTCCACTTAAATCACGAAAAAAACTAATGTTTTTGTAATTTTTGTTTTATGTTTAACATCCACTGTACATTCCTCAATATAGTTTTAGTGAAGAAAATTTTGTTTCTTTATGCACATTAGTTCATGACCAGAAAATGAACCGCACAAATTCTCCATTAGATGAAGCGTATGCGACATGCAGTGGATTGGATTTAACTTTAAAAGATCAATCTGTTTTGGAATCCCATGTACAAGCCTCATCGACACCAAGACGATTAAATTATATCCCATCAAAAACTCTTCACGAACAAAACGATTATTATTGTTCAGAACAATTTAACGCCGAAAATAACTCTTTTATCATTAGTGAGCATATAAACCAAGTTCAAAATAGTAACGAGTCTCTAGAGAATAATAAACAACTTGATCAACGACTTGGATTTAACTATAGTTCAGGATCATTTAACAGTAAAGGTTCAACTGTTTCTTGTTACCACTCGGTGCAATCAAATAATTTGGACTATAGTAAAGAAACTGCAAATCCTGATAAACTAAGTCCCCTTGACTTACGTATTAAGTCATTCTCGGATGATATTAACTTGATTAATAACAGAGACAGTGGATATTTAGTTATTACTACAGACACCAAAACAGAATGTGAAATATCCACCCATATATTCTTATCTAATCAGGCGATACCTCAGATAAAGCGTTCAAATATTGAAAAACAAACGGGTAGCTCCTTCAACATCCAGTCCATACTAGGAGTAACAGATCAATTTAAAGTATTTTCTGAAACTACCAGTAATACAGATAGTAATACAAATGATGATAACATAAAAAATAATAATATAGAGATAATAGATCGAACAAAAGCCTCAAATTCTTTTTTCGATCAGTTTCTAGTTGGTTATTTGCAAGCAATGAATCCATTACTACTGAGTTCACGTGGAATTCAAATGCAGAGTGTAATTACACCACCACAACCGGTGGACACTACTGTAACCATACAGTCTACAAATTCAGTCTCGACGACACTCCCGTTAAATGAAACAGGTACTGTGAAATTCTCAGTTAAGCAGCGTGCAAAAAAGTTGAATCCTACTACATCAATGTACAGCATAACTAACGGTATGACCAATAGACAATTAGACGTGAAAAATAATGATCCCATTCATGGCAGTTTAAAACAAACGGAACGTATTCAACAATCAATGAAGAATGTTTACGATTTGAGTGGTTCATCGCTCTCGAATGAAGATGATGTAATAACTAGACAACGAGCCAAAACGTCTGACGTAGGAAAGACACCTGTTATTCTTTATTGCCCCGAACCATCAGACAGCAAAACAAAAGTGAAGGTAAAACGCTTTGTTCTTGCTAAATTTGAGTTGTACTTCTTTCCATTTATTGTTTTTATATGAATATATGTATTAAAACCAGAAAAGTTTGAGAAATGAAAATCATGTATCATTCCTGATTTGGACTAATGAACAGTAGACACAATTAATTTGCTTTTGGTTAAATAGTGGAAAACATTTGAAGTATCAACCACGTTGGTAAATGTTTTGACTGATATATTCAAGTGTCATGAATGCCTACTGTCAACTTGGAGCAGTTTTCTGGTTTTATAAACGATGTACTCTCACCGGAATATTCTCTGCAAATTGAAAGCTATCTAATTAATATTAAAATGTTATAATGTTACTGAACTAAGTAACAATCAGTAAAATAATTTGATAGTAAAACGATGGTAATTCTCTATATAATTAAGCATATTCATACATTGGAACTTCTGGTGTACAAAAATGTACAAATATGACATAAAAGAGGTTGCGAACCACATGATATGAATTTTTCAACTACGTTACGATGCCCTAAAGGACCACAGATGATTGATTTGCTTTTGTGAGAAGCGGTGTAGAAATATGGAAAGTCAATTGCCAACTGGACAGTAGTATCTTGCTAAAGTACTTCTCATGGCCAAATGATTGGTCAGCTCATAGAACATGTATATTAGTGGTATATGATGTTCTCGTATGAATCGCATAATAATTAAATTGGTATTCTAACATAATCTCCACTAGCTTCTTATTTTTTCCCTTAATTTGTTAAGGCCATGCTGGAACGGAATGACCCGTGTTTAAAATATGTCAATGATGGAGCTGCGATACGCAACCCATTTGCTATTGATCGAAAAATTCAACTGGTCCATTTAACTTCACTATTATGTAAGTACGTTTTCAGATATAACATACATGCTTTACTATTTGTTTATGATAAAAATGTAGGAAATTATTAAACTTAAACATCCTTTCAAATGTTAAAAAGTTAAGCAACCAAAAGGCTGGTATTATATATATATATATACTGGTTTACTTTAATGAAATGTTCTAGACTATTTATGTTGATGAGAGATTATTCTGACAGTAGTTCCTAGTGCGTCGCTCGAATCTATATCATCAATATTTTATTTAGTTGAGAGACTAGTCTTACCAAATCCTGGCATTTTGTACAATTGTTTGGAAACAAAAGAATATCAACTAATGGTACACTACAATCACATTTCCAAACAGTTACACGGAAACCACTCTATTAAATATTTTGAAATTATTACTGAAGTTATTATTATTATTATATTCACAGTACCTTACATAAGCATTTTATTATAGCAATTGATAGGAAGACTAATTACTTATAAGGCCAGGTGAAATTTAATTCTGTTCAACCGAGAATAACACATTCTAACAACTAGTGTTTAACATACGGTTAACTAGTGGTGTGTGTGGCAGTTATTTTATAATGTTACAGCAGCCATCTTAAGACAGTAACAGAAGGAGAACAAACAAAATCTGGTCAGACCTAGTATTGGGATTACAATGTTTTATAGGTTAAGTAATAATATACAAATGAGTGGATAACAACAAAATATTAAAATATCTTTTAACAGATATATTTATTCACTTGGTATTGTTTTGCTTGTATCTTCCCATTGAGGTTTAAGACTGCAATTGATCAGCCTGTTATTGGTATATGTGCATGCTGTGCGCATGCCTCGATATTGCCTGAGATTCAGGTACATCTAGCTGACGAGTCCCAAATAGGACGAAACGCGCGTCCTGGATTCCATTGCTAGCCACTATATATCTTTGCTTATAAAATATATTTGTTTGCAAATGATTACAAGTAATTTATAGATATCAAGTTTGTTAGTGTTATGATTACTTGCCATACACTTCGAGGTGATTTTCCTCCTGAATTGAGAACAGCTAAGTGTTTATTGTTATTCAGGTAGTAATGAAGAGACTTTTAGTTCAAACTTAATTACCTCTTGACAGTACTACCTTAATACTCCAAGAAGTATCTAACATAAAACTTAAAATTACTAATATGTACTATTACATTTCTATTCACCGCCTTGCAAGAACTGTGTTTGCAATGTAACTTGAGTTTTTCCATTTAGGTTATTAAACGGGTTCCCGAGTTGAATACTGCTGACGAGTCCGTGATCTAGAACAAAACAGCGATCTGATATTTTCAGGTGCTTTAAAGATTGTCTGACTCCTAACAGTTCATGATAAAAAATAACTTGAAAACAATAACTCATTCATACGCCAATCTTTTTACTCTTTTACAGAGTAGATTAATGAAGAGGAGTTTATTTGTAGCTACAGTATTGCTTATATAATCTACAATGTTCTCCAAACATCTAAAATACCCCATAAACATAACTTGAAACATCATTTACACTATGATCAGAATATCTATGAACTAGTAAAAGTTAAATAGTAAGATGAACTATGTAAGTAGATATGTTGATGACTTAAGGCGATATCGGGGAAATCCGCACAGGTTTCACACATACCGATAAGATATTGGTCCATAGTACTCCTAAATATCAATGGGAAGATTCAAACAACCAGTACAAAAAATGAATTGGTTTTAGATTATCATGTGATCAGTTTAATATTTTTGGTAAAGATTGCGACTGTTGATCATTCATGAGTTAACCTATGCACGCAAGAATATCATTATATTTTGATAATGATGAACTTAATTAACCTTAATTTTTTATGTAATTTTATGGATTTAATTTTTATTTACTCAAATCAGTGGTGAATTATTAAATAATATGTTATCTATATTATCATTTCTTTAATTGACCAGTTGTGTTTACCGATATGACTACTTTTTTTCATCAGTTTAGGGGTTGTGGAGATTGTTAAGTATTTTTTATTGAGATCATGAACCGATTGATGTTGATGATGAGTCCCACAATAGGACGAAACGGCCGTCCAGTGCTTCCAGGTTTTCAATGGTGGTCTAACATCAATCGGTTCATGATCTCAATAAAAAAATACTTTTTTTCACTCATACATCTAAATAAATGAACAGAATAATGATTATGATTCACAATATTGTACATTTCTTAGAATTGGAAATTATTCAAATTCCGACTAAAAAATTGGTGATTGTTCGACTAGAAACACAGTTTTAACAATATTTCTGATCACTGTAAATTAGTTGCTTTGGATAGAAATTAGTTTGACTAGAATGAGGTACATAGTTTATGATTTTAGTGAATGTAAATGTGGTAAGCTTAAATGAAATATTGAATTTAGTTAGCAGTCATTCAGTAAATGGTAAAATGAGAATAACGAAACCAGGCAACTAGATAAAGTTCTTGTAACATTATTTGCCTAATCTACTTATATTCAAAGGAATGTTAAGGTGCTAGTAACCCTAAGGCAAAAAAAAAACTTGGTTAAAATGTGTTTTAGTTGATAATCCTCATTCTTAAGATCACCACTCAATTTTGTTTCTATAATACAGTTAGCCTTTTTTCACCGTGAACAGTATATAACATGCTGTGAGATTATTTTATAACAATTTTACAACATGAAGAGGGAAATTCATCAAAAGAATTATACATGAGAAACTTACTAATTAATGTGGATTTTTTTAATTTTTTAATGGCATTAAAAATATTATTATTATTCCCCAATAACTCTTAATATTCGGGATAAGAGGAAATTTAATTTGTTTTCTCAATTGTCTTGATCTATAATTCTGTTTTTATGCTTTATATTTAAAAAAAGAGATTAAATATTAAGTCACTTTCAAAAAAAGATTATTCTTTTAACTTATAATTGTTTCAATCTTTCCGAATAAGTTTTTAATGGAATCAGCGTAATGTAATGAGGTAACTTTTACTAATTCAAAAATCCTCTCTGTTAAAAGCTACTTACCTCTTTTAACAAATAGTGGGTTAATTATGAGAACGAAAGCACCATCATAAAATCATCGAGGAACTTAACTTTTTTACTATCTTACCGAATACAAAAAGAGACGATAAGTTATATTTCTTTTCCGCAATATAGTTAAAAATGATGCTCATTGGTTATAATTTGTGCATTTTATTGAATTTTTCTTCAAAATCAGGTGTCAAACTTGATAATGGTACATATTTGTGCAAAGGATGCAACCGTACAACTAAACGTTTAAGACCAATGCAACAACACTTACTATCACACAGTGCAAGTAAATTCAATCTGTGTGTTAAGTGTCTTAAAGGTTTCAACGATAAGTACGATATGAAACGGCACACACGCAAACATACTCGTAAGTTTAATCTTCAATGTAAATATTGCATTATATATATAATTTATCCAATTACGGATTGGAGTTTCTTTTCCAGATCAAAATCCCAACATATTAATGTTTCCAAATCGAAACCGACTAAATTTAAGTTCAATATGAGTAATAATCATGTTCCTTGATAGAATCATAATACCTTATAATTTCATGTAAACATGATAAGGGAAAACTAATGTGTGGATTTCCTACTTCAATACTAAATCTCTAGTCTTCTATCCATAAAAATGAAACATAATTCGTAATACTCTTCCATAATACATTCATGATCAATTCAGTGCTGTGAATTGACGGATTTTTGTTGGATTTATTATGTAGATTTCAGTCATTATAGTAATAAATAAACAATTACAGTGATAATTTTGATAGTCAGAAGGATGATTTTGCCTTAATGTTGAGATGCGTTTGTTATGAGTAGATGTAATGTATCTTACTAAGTTAAATACGAAATTACATTGATGTTTGTCTAAATATACTCTACTTTAAGCAAATAACATAATGATACTATTTAATTATCAATAATACAATTTTTGCTTTTCATTCCAAAAAATAACTACAGTTGTACGCCCGTATGTCTGTCCAGAATGCGGACGATCATTTAGCCAGCGTTGTTCATTAGAAGGTCATCGACGCAAAATACATAGGATTCAGTTGAATTATCCACCAAATCAACGTCGTGAAATAGTACGTGTTTGTGAAACCTGTGGTTATTCATGTCCTAAATTATATGATATGTTACAGCATACATTAAATAATCACCCAAACAGTAACTGTTTACCAAGACTACAACGCCAATTAATAAGATATAAAGAAAAACTCCAGAGTACTTCACTTACATCAGATGATGACAATATATACGAGATACGCTAGAAGCAACTCGTAATTGGTCTTGCATATCACCATTTTCAAACAATCATAATTTCACTTAACCAACTTCTTTTGTGAGCAAAAATTCTGACTTCAAGGACACAACCTAATAATCAAATACTTTTATTTCTTTATCGTTTTTTACTACAGAGTCATAAATATTTTATTTTACTATCAAATCAGCTTTTTTTTAATCCAGAAAACATAAAACGGTTCTATGTAAAGCATCATTTTCTTTGTTTTTTTGGTGCTAATTCTGTACCACACAATGATAGTGTACCATTATAAATATTATCCCTTTTTTTATTTCTTATTATTAAACTATTTACATACTATGAGCTCTTGTGTATATCGTCTTCGAAATGAACAAAGTTAATTTCTTCTGTAGAAAATATGAACCTGGTTATTATTTGTACGAAAACATTACTAAATATAAAACATTACCATCCACAAAAACATTTTTTTCAACACTTAAACTTTTGTTCAAATAAATCCGTGGACTTTTCTACAGGGTCAATGCACCGAAGAACCGAAAGAATTTGAACTTAAAGTTTAGTACACGGTTTGCAATTACTGCAACTTCTATTATGCAAATAGTATTATAGATGACTCTCTAAATATTGTAGCATATATAAAAAATGCCGTTATACAGACAGGTGAAAAAATAATAAGCAAGAAATTTAAGTCGATTATTCTCACCGAAAAAATGGACTAATTTTCTAGATATTTGAAGAAACATATCTATATGCTTAAGGGAGTAATCTTTTGTCATAGTGTTTGAAATCTAGTTAACTTTCACAATCAACCAATTATTTTTTAAGATAACAGCACCAGTAATAATATTCAAGAGTAAGGTGTTCAGTATCACAATTTGAAACCCTCAGATAATTTATTTGGACCATTTAATGCACTTGTTGTAAAATATAGTAGTGAGGTATTCTTAATCCAAAACAAGACAAATATTTATTGAATGTGAACTAATCTTGAAAAAGATTAATAAAAAAATGCATTAGTACGGGTTCCGTAGCAAATCCTCGGATTCTAAATGAACATAAGAAAGTGCGTTTAATAAATATGCAAGTCTGAAAATTGTTCTAAACAATTTATCTTTTAGATAACTGTTTCAAACGATATCAACTTAGAATAGAACCGTAAAGTTTCAATCCTTTAAATTAAGGTTGAACTCAATACTATTAAGTAATGTTTCCCGTGATCTCGCCCACTAGTAATTAACCGGACAGCTTATTAGTATTTTCGTATACTACATTTACAAAAGGTTTCTTGAGACATTTACTTTACGGTTAGGCATTTCACATTCTCATTTGATTGACATTCCGTTCAGCTGTGCATTTAGAATGATACGTACTGACTTTATTTTCTGACAATATTTGGTAACAGTTTCTGGTCGGAAACTTTTCATTCTTGACTGTTAACTTTCTTATTGTTTGTAAAATTATCCGGGGAATTTTTTTGCCGGGGGTAAATATTTTAAAAGGCTGACTCGACTATTTGTAGATAAACTATTGTCTTATTCTCCCTATTTAAAAAAAAATAATGATAAGAGTGAAGCAACAAACGGAAGGGACAGTTTATCTACTTTAGGGTGCAAAATCGTGATATTTGCTGCAATAGTTAGACATTTTACTTTGAAAAACTACCACTATACGATTAGATAATTCACGAATGAAAACAACCAAACACATCTTACCACATTTGAAACTAGTAAGAATAAAGTACAATGCATCAAATTTAACTTAATTGGTACAATTTATTCCTTTCCATACAAATTCCTATGCATATTGGGCATTAGAACAATAAACTGAAATATAACTAAACGAACATTTATACAAAATGTGCAAAAATGTCACATTATTGTATTTATTTCTAACATCTCGCATCATAAAGAAATATGCATAGCAATATTCCAATTATAAAGTGAATAGGCTACATTTAAGGAAAGATGGTAGTACCATTGATATTAGCTTTCAGTTGATTACAAGTGTAGAATTAAATGTCAGATTACTCATGTATAGTTCAGATAACCATGGTATCATCTATATATATCGTTCTAATCATAGTTTGTTGGTGGACAAAAAGCATTTGTAAATCACAAACAGTCCGTTATCATTAATCATAGCAGATTTCACTTTACGTTCTCGATTTTGTCTATATCGTAACGTCACTGAGGATGTTAGTGATAAAAACTAACATTAGAAATGCAACTCACACTTCCTTTATTTTGGTTGTTTTTGAATACGCTAATATAAATAAAGTCTGAAAAAAAATGTACCATACGAAATGATTATGTAATAAGTGAAGCAACAACAGTTTAGTTTTAATATGTACCCTCAGCACTTATTTTCAGTAATGACTATAATCCACATAAAAAGCGATTGTTATGAACAGGAAGTTATTAAACTTTTGAAATGAAGTGATAATATAACCTAAACACTTAATTTGTTTAGGATTGAATACTCTGTTGATTATGGATTATAAATACACATATTTGAATGTGTGTCCACATATATAGAGGAAATATAGTTTACCAAGAAATGAAGCTGATCAGCATTTGTGTCTTTCAATTATTTCCACTCCTATGGGCAATGACGTAATCAATAATCGCAATCCATATTCTCATCAGTCCGAAATTTTTTTCGAAAATAAAAATAAAAATAAATATTTATTTTAACAAATAAACTGAATTGTTAAGGGGGATTAGGTTCATTCAAATTTGATTTAAGCCTTTTTGTCCTCCCCCCATAGAAGCATTCGAAGCATATAAGGCGTTATTGAGAATTAATTCTCCTCCCCTTCAATAGCAAAACGGTCCGCCAACCGATGTTTGCATAATGAGCTCTCTACGAGTGAGTTTCAAAGAAGTTCATTAATGTTTGGTCCTTTAGGATAGTTTTGACTTATTAAACTTAGTAAATAAATAGTGACTATGAATGTAGTCTCAGGAAAACCTAGATAGCAATCGGATACCGACAATTCGTGTCCAAAGTATCACTCCTGAAACTTATAATCTGAGCTATCAGAACCAAGCAGTAACTTGATTTTAATATTATTCCGCTCCCCGAGTTTGATTGCTGATCTAGTGAGAGAAAAATATGAGCGTTTCCTAACGAAATAAATCCTATAACAGTTCAGTGAGAATAACTGGTAAACCATTGTTTTTGATCAGATTACTTAGCTTTCCGAATTAAATATGTACATGAATGATAAGAACACCTCATTATTATTACAGACACTATGAGCCTCAATTTAGCTGGTGAATAGCTAAAATTTAAACTCTGGTCATGACTTTATAAGTATTTCTTCAGTTTTCTATAAGTTGTCAAGCAAAACAATCAAACTTTTGTTAATTCAGTGTTTGCGTTTGTTCGAATTCGGACGCGTTCAAATTTAAATATTTGATTGACAGAGAGATGTTTTGCTTAATATTATTTTAATTCCCTTATCCACCATGCAAAACTTCAATGATCATGATGAAACGTTGTAAACTATTAAGTAAACAGAAGTTTTCATTTCATAACACCCAATTGTTTATTATGCTTCTATTTTGAACTTCTTTATTTTCAGACAGATCTCCAAAAGTGTTGATTATAGTTATATAATTTTGAAAGTAAAGAGACAATTTCATAGTCTATCGGTTCTGAAGTTCCTGAGGTAAGTTACGCAACACACATTTTTGACCCGTGTTTTGCATTAAAACTGTCCAGTTATGAAAAATTATTTATATTCTCGTGTACTTGTTAGCCACTTTTATCACATGACATGAGAAATATTTAGAGATTGTATTTAGAATCTATTTCTACCTTGTCAGTACTGAGTGACTGATTTCCTGAAATGCAATTAATGTGTAGAATGTTATAGTGGAGTAGACAAAGGCAGATTCACCTTGAAAATAACCTGAGATCAGTTGAGAAGTGTTATTCGAATAAATGATTATGAATTTATCAGATCATCGATTTGTAACAGTGTGACACGCACCTCTAAAACTAATCCAAGTGGGAAACTAAAAGCCACTAAACTTCCTTTAAAAAATAGCTAGAATTCTTATTCTTTTAATGGTTAATTAGTACTTGTAAAGGTTTGTATTTTATTATTATTAATATTAAGGACTGAAAATGATCATACTCTATTGAAATATGTGAATCCTGAGAGGATTATCATGGTAGAGCGGATAGCGCACACTAAAACTAATGCAGTTTAATGTTCGAAGTCAGTTGTCGAAGAGTTAAAAAACGTAGATGTATATAAAATAACACCGCTTTATTTACATACCTAATATACATTTTTAATTAATTTCTGTGAATCTATTGAAAAATAAGAATGAACTTTGTGGTCTTTCTCAAAATATTGTACATTGAGCAAGTAATATCAATGTGCATTTGTAGGAAATAAATTAAGAGCTAGTTTATCCAATTTCATTATAAATTGTTAAGAAGTGATTTTCAATAAATTACCTAAAGAACCGAGTGTTAGATGTGCAGATAAATAACATTAATCCTTCCCATCATAAGAAGATAATGAAAACGGGAAATCATTCTGTTCTGATTGTCATACTTAAAAAACAAAGGGTGTAGTTATGGTTCAATACAAGATTTTAGGTAGATGTAATAAAGGAAGCAAATTCTAGCAAATTTATTAATTTAGCAAGGTGGATTTCAGGCCGGATTAAAATGAAAATGATATTTCTATTAGCATTTGTTGGTAGAATTCCTGCGACATTGTTTAGTGTCGCAAGATGGCGTGTCAGTTTATGTCGACAAATATCGAAAATAGTTTTGATGCTGATAAGAATTGATTTCCTTTGGTTTCTTTTTAAATACAATGTAAGAACTTTATACAGGACACCTAGAATTGAGTCACTTTGACCGGCAAAAATATGATAAACGGTTTCTAACTTAAATAATTTAATACCATCATGTAGCTATCTTTTAATATAATTGAAGATTATTTGTCTTTTACATTTCAAATAACTAATAAAACCTGTGGAA